AGTCTACATCACACCCTCAACATTCCTATGAGAATGGCTGTGATAATGGGGAAAAAATGTCTCTGTACAATGAGGGTATTTATTCATGGTGTAAATGACTGACTGACTACCGATGCATAGCAATATGCATTAGAAACCTTGTATTACTGATGAATGTTGTCTGATGTTATGGATAGAACATCTAATTTAATGCAACACTTGGACCTGCCAAATGACAAAGTACTATTGAAATGATGTTTTGTTAGGATCAGAATATGGATTCCAGACATACAATTATTTTTTGTGACAGGAGGAACTGAACCCTCCTAGTTTCACCGACACACTCCTTTCAGGATATCAAACATGTCTAGTGATCAAATACCTAAAGTATAAACAAATTTTCAAACATTTTGGGGAACAAAATGGTTTTTTTGCAAAAAGTCCAATATGTACTGTTTGTTAGGGCTGGCTATCAATATAGATCATAGAGATTGATAATCTTTGACTAAATATCAATTGATTAGCAATAAATATCAGAGGTACCTTTGAGTAAAATGCCAATAAAGAAATGAATATATTTTGCATCACTTGTGAGTGGTGACATGTTTTTGCATGGATTATTAACAAAACAGTGTCTTTAACATACTTTAGAAGCAGACCATGAATAAAGTCCTAAATTTGTATGTTGTGTGAGAAAATTTTAAAAATTTCTGTCACAAAAGTTAATGTACGATATTATCGATAACAGAATTTTCATATCTATAATTTGTAATAATATTTCCTATCAACAATTTTTCCAATTGTCGATAATTTTAGCCAGCCCAAATGTTTGGTCCCTATTTCCATTCAGTTTCCTATACAACAAATATCCAAAAGCAATGCAAACCCATTAACAATCCAGACATCTCTTCTACAAACCAGTCAAAACTCCCTCAAGTGTGTGGGCCCATGGCTGGCAAAAGGACTTCCTTCAGGATGAACTGAGACTGTAATCAATGTCTTTCAACAAATCAAACCATCCACTGAGCCAAGGAGGAAAATGACACACAGTAATAAGTGATGGTGTGATAGCCCCATTGTGCAGCAGCCCATCTAACACTGTGACTGTTGAGGGGCAGATCAACAGGTGCTTGTTCATGTGGATGGTCTTGGGCTGGTGGAAGGCAGGAATTTCCTGGTATTAGTCATGTGGTCATCTTCTGGGCTGATGGTCAGTGACAAAATGCCCACCAGGCACACACTAAGCTGTGATAAATGTGTGGTCGACTGAGGTACAAGTCCTTAGGTCAGTGATGAGTGACCAAGTGCTGTAGGGGCACCTGCTGGCATGGATGAGGATTTTCAGGGATTACTGTGCTCAGGTCAGCAGGACATCACAAGGCAGTGATGAGTGAGTGAGGGTTGGTTTTAATACTGCTTTTGAACTGTATTTAAGTTATTAAAAATTAAATTGGACGATGGGGAGTTTGTTTTGCAGATTTCAGGCATCAACTCTTTTGAAAAACCCACAAGGAATAAATTATTACCTACTCATCTGGAGCTAGATTTTCAAATCTCTTATAGTGTTAAGATGATTTGTAAGTGCCATACATTAACATTAATTTACGACTATTTTAGCTCTAAGAGAGTTTCGAAAATCTTGACCCTGAAGAGTACCTTTCTCCATTGTTATGGGCTCTTGTTGTAGACACGATGGGCTACACACTTGTAAAGTCATAGGCTGTCTATTATATGAAACAGAGTCATGGATCATGATTATTTTTGGTACTTTCTTATCAGTGAAAACTAAGCACACAATTTCATTAAAGTATCCCCAAGAATATTAATTCCAAACTCTTCTTTGTTTAATATAAATGACATATGGTTTATATACTCAGCAAAAAAAGTCAAGAAACACCCCAATTATCAATATTTTAGTATCTAATAATTCATTTTATGATCCATATAATACTTAAATATTGAATATTGGAAAGACCCTTAACTTGTTATGTTGTATATATGTTCGAGAGAGACAAACTGAACAAGTCAAACATGACAATTGGAACCTTTGGGAGGTACATTAGGTTAGGTTTTTCCATGGGATGATTGTCTGTTGATATGACTACAAATCAAAAACCACTCAGCATTAACCTACTGTAGATCAATCCCCTGCTCAGCTGGACCAAACATTGACAATCCTGAGTTATTGTTTCATGCTAAAACATGAATGTCCTTTCTGTCATCAATCATTTATAGGTGCACACCTGGTCAATTATCTGGAGTTAATTATTCATTGTTTGCCACGGAAATGCTCTCCTGCTTCATCAAGTGGAAATAGAGACAAATCCAAATGGATATACACACAATTCTGCCAAGGAACAAAACTACTGATGAACTACTGTGCAGATCAAAGGACAAGATAAATATCCTGAAACAATTAAGAGCACATTTACCAATTTTCGGTTTCTGAATTTTGTGGAAAGCAACTCCTTGTCAGAACATAAAGTAATTTTTGTAAAATAGTAATACCTTCCTCATTCAAATTCAGGTTATCATATACTACTCTAAATAAATAAATGATCTATCATGGTATGATAGGTAAACTATTATAAGAAATAAAGTGGTCCTAAACATCTTTTGAATAGTATAGGTCATCAGCTAACTGTGCTTGGTTACTAGGCATGGATGATTACATTTCACTAGAGTGAGTGAGTGAATTGGGTTTTATGCCACTTTTAGCAATATTCCAGCAATATCACAGCAGGAGACAGCAGACATTGGCTTCACACATTGTATCCATGTGGGGAAATCAAAACCCAGGCTTTGACGTTACAAGCGAATGTTTTGACCACTATGCTACCCCTCCACCTACGTTTGATAAGATCTAATAATGAGGGACATTGCTCCTTATATCAATAACTGGTATGTCTGGTCCAGACATGATCGCTTACTTAACTGTTGACATAGCATCAAAATTGCCTTATAAATGAGTGTGGCATAAAACAATAAACTGGGCATGTGAGCGGATGCAGGTCTCCATGTTAATATCACTTCTATCTTAATCTGCCCTGGATTATTCCAAGTGTTAAACAGAAACACCCAATATTTGCTGGAAATGACTGTCAGAGCACTTGTGCCCACAAGACCAGTGCACAGAGTTTTATGACACAGTTTATACTTGCTGAAATTGTTAAATGGTACTTAGGGTGAGTGAGTGAATTAGCTTCACGCTGTTTTTAGCATTATTTCAGCAAAATCACGCATACAGGACACCAGAAATGAACTTTCCACATTGTACTCATGTGGGGAATCAAACTCATGTCTTCGGTGTGACAAGCAAATGCTTTAACCACTAGCCTAATCCACTGACCCTTATGGATCTTAGGATTAATATCCTATATATGATACATATAACTGCTTGTTGTATTTCTACTGCTGTGTCTATCAATGTCCAGTATTTGTAACCTGGTGGGAAGTTTTTGCCAATACATTTTTAATTCTCTGTATCAGATTATAGGAAAAGGGTGTATTTAAGGTAGAATTACCAACATGGGATTTCGGGTTTCTAAAGTAAAGCTTTCATTTTTAAGGTTTGCATATTGTCATTTCAGAAACAAATGTCAGAAGACTGATTTAATATTTATTGGTCTTTCCTCATGTAACTGTGAGTTGTGTTTTAAGATGTTCGAGCAATATTCCTGCCTTATCATTGAAGAGTACCCCGAGCATGTGCTTCACTTCTTCTCTGTGACCATACTGAAAATCAAACCCTGCTCAATTTTTTTTGGTCAGACTTTACTTTTCATTTCAATAACAAAAAAATACTGCGTCTAGCAGACTAAATATATTTCTTCTTAATTTTCTATTGATTTCATGTCTAGTAAATAAAGTTCATCAGATCTGTAAATCACAAGTGTTGTCACCTGGCGAATTCAACATCCTGTTGGCGGACATCTGTTAACTGTCTGAAGCTAACACACTTCAACACAACGAAACTACATTAAATCATGTCTTTTCTGCAAACAAAATTTTGAAAACAATCTGTTAAGTACACAGACAACATTTAATCCTGTCCAGTAATTATGGCGGCAGCGTGAAGCATATGTGTCAAATCCTTGTGAAGTCTGGCCTGTGTTTGATAAAGTTACATAACTCCCGGAAGCCTGGTGTTTATCTGCCCCAAGCCATCCATCCATGTAGCTCCTCTCTTCACCTACAGCCTCCCCATCCATCCACAAACCTCCCCCAACATGTCCCCCTTCCCACTATCCCATCCTCCCAAACTCTTCCTGTACACATGCATCATGTTTACCTAAAGAAGAAAAGTTTGTCCTCAACTTCATCTGTTTTACAGAACATTTTTTTCAGTAGGTATCCATTTATTTCATTCAACCATCAAAAACTATAAGTATCCTTAAGTCTTTATAATACATATATGAATATTTGTTGCCTTTTCATTCACATTTTAATTGGATATAACATGATATATACCGGTACACCATGGGATAAACAAAGATATTCCTGTACATTATCAGTGTATGAAATAAGGCCCGCCCAACCACCTGAGACAGACTAGATTTCTGACGGATGGTCTAAATGAACAGCTACCCAGCCCGATGGTCTGGTAAAAATTTTAGATAACATGTTCCATACATCTGAGTAAATTCACCATATCTTAAAATCTATTTTTAAAACTGAGCGTTACATTTAGACTTGACAATTTCTGTTTGAACATTGAACTATCGTATTGCAAGCTCAAAGCACTGTGCTGACATATATTATCACTAAAACAGCGGAGTCTGATTTCTTTGAAAATGAATGTGAATAGACTGTTAGACAGTAAATACATACCTCAGGTTCATTGAATTATTCATTGTAACTAAAATTGAGTTATTTTCTTTGGATTGTCTGGTCTGGTTAAATCCATTTTGGGCAGGTTACTTAACATTTTGAAGTTACCAGCCCTGATGTCTGGCTGGGTTTTTGGCTTATTTCATACACTGACATTATATCATCATTAAGTATACAGGTACAGTGGTTACCTTTAGTTGTTGTGTCCAGGGGATACATCCCATCATCTGGTATCCATGGTAACACTCCAGGTATATGTATTCCTTTGAGTCAACAATCTGAAACACAACCAAATGAATAACCACATGAACAAAAAGTCATTGAAGGAAGTAACAAAAGGCACATTACATTCATCAGTAGGTGTGAAGTATCTCCCTAAGGCAAACTGCTGAAGGATGTCACTTGACTTTTGCCAAAGGGTACAACCACCTATATGAGGAGAAGAGATTGCTAAGTGAGTGAGTGAGTTTAAGTTTACGCTGCTTTTAGCAACATTACAGCAATATCACAGTGTGGGACATCACAAATGGGCTTCACTTATTGTACCCATGTGGGGAATCAAACCAGGGTCTTCTGGGTGACAAGTGAAAGCTTCAACCACTAGGCTACCCCACCGCCGCCTGTATGTTCAGGATATATATACCACTGGTGAACTTTGTTAAACATCTTCTGAAGCAGGAGTATGGGGATGCTGCAGACAAATACAGGTGAATCTGACATCTGAATCATGATTTCGGGTTTACAAAATAATGGAAAAAAGACAAGAAAAAAAGGATTGTAATTATTAATATGTTCTACTTAACTTCTTATCCAACCTTCCTTCATCTATATGCATGCCTACACATTCACAGAAGTTCTTGCACATTCTCAGACATTCCTGCATGATCAGGAATGTAAATGAGCCATTATTTAAGAAATACAGTTCGCTCTACCACCATGTATAGTGTAATAAAGCACACTTTCGCCCTGAACTATTATAGTTAAAGCACGAGGACGCTTATAATAGTTCAGGGCGAAAATGCGCTTTATTACACCATACATGGTGGTAGAGCGAACTGTATTTCTTTTCAAAGATGCCAAAATTAATACTTTCTAAGGATAATTACGAATAATCTAAGGCAGAAAACAAAAGACGGTGTTGGTGACCTAAATTAAGAATCCTCACACAGGGCTAACTAGTGCGCTGTTCTATTGATGTCTCTGCCCCCTAGGTTAAGAAGAACATTACCCGAAAAAACAAATGACAAATAGTTTGATGACGGTTTACGTTCGGATTAAATATCTTCTCTAAATTATTTTAATTACATCTGTGATTAACGTAAACCATATGGGGCAATATGAACGTCACATTTCTACTACCAACGTAAGTTTAGATCAGTACATCCAGATGAAGCTGAGTAGTCAAATGACATTCCATGATTGCATTATGGGAATGTAAACACTGCGAACGTTACCATGTCGCTGAAAACTTGGGAGTCGAATTGAGACATTATAAACGTCGGAAAACATGAACGTATTGTTTCCACCAGTGATGTTAGCTGCATGAAGCAACTGCAAACCAAGAAAGGGGATGCAATCGAATAGTTTACTGTAGGAGGCCGTACGAGGAGATGACAACTGACATGCATCGTGACGTCGCTTACATCGTGACGTAATGGAAAATTGTTCGATGAGGGGGCAGACTAGAATGGCATTACATTGTGACGTAATGCAAAAGTGCACATTATCGTCTGATAAAGTACTGTCGGCACCTTTGATCTTTCACCAAAGCATCTTAGAATCCCCTTTCAGGCACTGGCATGTCATAAAGAAGGATGCAGATCAAGTGACTCTTAGCTGAGTGGAATATATCATAACTATTTAGAGTAGTATAAGTAAATGTCTCAGGGTATGCTGTCAGTCTGTTAAGGGTTGATGTAACATTACTAGCTGAAATCAAAATTCGTAACAGTCCCCATAAACTACTGGTGTCCTCGTTGCACTGTTGACTTAATGTAGACTTGCCTATTAAAACAATACAATTACTGTACTTTCAAGGATTTATCATTCCAGTACAACCTTGAGCATGGTTATGTAAGTGGGGTACCTAAAGGCAGGATCAACAATTTGTTTACGTTTATGAAATTTGTAGCCCTAGACCTCAGTGTGAAGAGGAGAAAATTAAGATTTCAATTAAGTTAGAAGCAATATTACCCAACAGACATCAGAAAAACATTTTAAATACATTTCTGCGAGTATCACAGTTTTCGCTTCATGCAGATCACCTAGTGTATTTCTATTGCTACATTATTTACACTGCTTAAAAAGAGAACAGCAACTATAAACTTGTAATTATGGATATACATCCCCATCTTCAATGCTTAGAAGTCATTTTTAACTTAACTCTTTCAACACCAGTCAACCAGAGGCATTTACTGCCATGACACCGAGTTCCCAGAGACTCTAAGGTCACAGATGAAGCCTATGTTTATGAAGGAAATTATAAGCTTGTAAAACGTTATTACTACTACATCTCATACACCATTTAAAAGATCTAATCCCACTGTTGATAAATATGAAGTTTATTTTTATAATATAATTCAAATAATACAACTACAACTTAAATAAATTTATTTTTTAATGAAAATGCAAGTTTACATTTATAATGTCCAGATAAGCCACGAAAGAAGCAAAAACTATGGCGATTTTTTTCCATTTGTGACATGTCATAACATGCCCATGGTAACACGACACAACAACGGAAAATACCTCCGTTTTTGAAGCTTCGTATGAATAACATGCGAGGCAAATCGTTTGATGTCGGGTATCGTTCGAAAGCTCTGAACATCAACAATATCACTGTACCCTTGCCAAGAGTATTTTCACAGTTGTAAGAAGCGATTTTATTGGATAAAGATTGGTTTCTAATGATGCTTTTTCGCCACAGTCTGCTATATGGGTCGTGATTGGTCAAAACCCGACACGTGACCTAAGGCAGCCAATTATACTACGGCAATGGATACCGTCCTCGTAAACGAAAACTTTTAGATTTAGACGAAAGTTTTGGGTAAAATAATGCTATTCGGAACATATTAAGCAAGAAATCGCTACATATACGTAAATTATGGGACTTATTGGACGTATCGTGCTAGGTTATGACCTGTGACAAAAATGCTTCATGCATATATTTTCGCATTATACATCATGTCCGAGCGTGAAGATTGAGGCGACGAGAGCCGAGATGTCATATGTCAGTGACTTGACTTGCATTACATGATCGCACAAAAAGATGGAAATAGTAATTTTATATGTACGTTTGACAACTTTTATGAATGCTGTTGTTGATTTTATTCATTAGTTTATTCATGTATTTATTTATTTATTGATGTGACTACTGCCTGGCCGCTTAAGTGGCCTCCGGTGTCTGGGGACTCATAACGTTGTGGCCGCTTAAGCGGCCTGCGGTGTTGAATGGGTTAACTACAAAAATAATTGCCTCACGACAAATAATCAGAAATTATTCAAAGTTTGTTGTTCTGCTCCAGGTGAGTGAGTGAGTGAGTGAGTGAGTGAGTGAGTGAGTGAGTGAGTGAGTGAGTGAGTGAGTGAGTGAGTGAGTGAGTGAGTGAGTGAGTGAGTGAGTGGTGAGTGGTGGTGGTGAGTGAGTGAGCTGAGTGAGTGAGTGAGTGAGTGAGTGAGTGGTGTGTGTTTAGTACAATACTGCCCCATGTCAGCAATATTCCAGCTGTAAAATGGCATCATGTTTTGTATCCAGGTACACCACTTCCTACCATAATGTATCATGTGTCATTAATCCAGGCACTGATGACATCAAAGAGCAGGCTGAGTGAGTGAGTGAGTGTGAGTGAGTGAGTGAGTGAGTGAGTGAGTGAGTGAGTGAGTGAGTGAGTGAGTGAGTGAGTGAGTGAGTGAGTGAGTGAGTGAGTGAGTGAGTGAGTGAGTGAGTGAGTGAGTGAACAATTATGTTGTTTTGTACAGTATTCTAGATACATCACTGCATGTCAGCTTGATGCAGGTGGAACTCCCTAAGTGATGCAGCTCCGGTATATGTTCACCACTTTGGTAAAACCCACAAGCAGTGGTATGATGCTGGACTTGCACAACTCTCTAATGTAATAATTAATAGTTTATATGAAAATTTCCAAAAAATACATAAATGACAGACTGGCAGAAAAGTTTAAATAGTCTAAATGAATGTTTCTAAACAAAAATATAAATAACAGACTGGCATCCTTAGTCTGCTTATCTAGACGTGACTCTTCGAAGGATAGAATTACTATCCATCAAATGACTAAGCCTTCAGTACAGCCTGGAGCAAGGCTAGTGTGACAAACCAAGCAACATAATCAGGGCACTCCCAGTCATTAGATGTTATCAGTTTGACATGAACTGCAAGTATGACATTTTCCACATGCTATAACTGTTAATCTGTGGAGGTATACCTTCCATAATTGAGGCATCAATCAATTACGTCACCTGCTACATCCTGTTTCCAGTTACCTTGCTGTGTTATCAATATGAAGCTGAAAGGTTTCAGTGCAACGTGAGATGTACACCCATCATCACCAACACTCACGGGTATTATGACACACTGAAACCTCAACACTCACGGGTATTATGACACACTGAAACCTCAACACTCACGGGTGTTATGACACACTGAAACCAACACTCACGGGTATTATGACACACTGAAACCTCAACACTCACGGGTATTATGACACACTGAAACCTCAACACTCACAGGTATTATCATGATTATGTCACACTGAAACCTGTCCATTCAATATATTGACAAAATGAACAAAAATTCAAGTTCAGTAAACCGTCAACAAGCTGGTATCATATGATCGAGGCACTACCTCCTTCACCAGGGACCATTCATTACATTATCTGGAAAAGCTTAAAAAACAGAAGAGCATGTCTACATACGCTCTGTGTATATGTGAACTACAGGGACCATTCATTTCAATGAACAATGAATCAATTAACATAGGAAGATACCTTCGTATGCTCTGTACAATACATCAACTTCTATACTCATGGTCTTTACATAATCAGAGAGACACTGACTCCTACGCCAGAGACCATTCATTACATCACCTGGAAAAGCTTAAAAAACAGAAGATCACATCTACATATGCTCTGTGTAATATGTGAACTACCCCATATCTTCACATACCTCCTACACCAGGGACCATTCATTTCAATGAACAATGAATCAGTTAACATAGGAAGATACCTTCATATGCTCTGTACAATACATCAACTTCTATAC